ACACAGTGCCTAGCGCTGCTTTTTTATGCCTATAACATCACTTCAGAAACAATTTTCTTCTAAATATTATTTTCTAACTCAGAGCAATAGCTGCATGGCATATGATATGTTAAGATATAGGGTCATATAGCACCAACACCTACACAACAACAAGTAATAATAATAATCGCTCTCAAGTTTGCGCACCTTTTCCTACAGATACCTTTAATTAGCTGGCCACGAAAATTAATATAGGCACGAAAAGCTGCGGTTGTGCATTCGGTGTCACTTGGAAATTGTCGCAATTAAACGCGCGCAACAATTGAAATTCCAAGAATGCATTAAATCGTTAACTAATGCCAATTTATAACAACACGTGTGAGACCACCGGCTCACTCAATGCAAAGTCAATTGCAAATACGCGTGGAAATGTAAATACTCGTATGTGCTTAATAAATAGCGTGCTCTCACGTGTGTGTGTGTGTGTGTGTGTGTGGGAGCGATAAATATGTACTTACACCTCAACTACAAATGTTAGCCGTTAAGTTTTAGCACCGTCCGCACTTTGCCACAAGCACTTTTACACGATTCACACCTCGCATAATGTCGTCTCTGCTGTGGCATGCCACAGCGACGCATGGTAGGTACTCTGGCACCTTAATAAAAATCCGTAATTTATGATTTTTTATGCTGCCTGCCACATAATTTCATATCAAATACGAATTTATGTTGTTGTTATTACTGCTATAAAATTATCTACCTATATATGTATTAATGTGCCTATGCTCACACACACACACATGTACCATGTGCCATGCGCAACACCTTTACATAACCAGATTTCGGTGTGTGTGTATGTGTTAAATTTGCGTTTATTCTCCATTCAGAAGCTCATGCTATTGCTGCCACATTCGTTGCCATTGTTGTTGTTGTTGCTGTTACTTTTGTTGTAGCGCTAAGGTGTCGTTTAATGCATTTTTGCACTTTTGTTACATCGATTCGCCGCCTGAGCAGGCAGTGAGCCAAAGTGCTCATATATTTGACGGCATCAAGTCTGCGCATTCAGCTGAGGGCGGGCGCCGCCGTAGGGTGTTAAGCGTAACTTATGCACCATGAAGTAGGGAATTTATCGGCGCTTACATAACTTACTTAGTCACACATACAAATGTCTTGTGGATTTTACTAAATGCCAATCTGTTTTAGTTTCTAAACGGAAACTTGGTCATTTTGTAGAGTAATAAAAACTTAAATTAATGCGCTGCTACGAGACGTGAGCCTTTAGGTTTTTTTCTACACATCAGAGGTACATAGGTAAACTGAGAAGCTTGTGAGAGTAAGAGTCTCTGTTTAAGAATAGAGCAAAAGATGCTCGCTTGGCAGAAAATTATACCAAGCCTATCTACATAGAGTACAGAGTTTGCTTAGAATATATCGAGCTACTGGATAGAACTGTGGAACTCATTTTATCGTTCCTTCTATTATCAAATCAGATTTGCGCAACGCAAAGCACTCTTCCAACAAAAGTGAAGTCGCAGCTTAATATAACAACCAGGCAGCTTTTCTAGGTAATTCTCATATAACTTAATACAACTTCATCATATTATATGATGTGTTGTGACTGCTGTTTCAAAACTATAAATAACTAATTAGAATAAGCGCATAAGTAAGCGCTTCGATCGAGAGGGATAGCAGAATTCCAAGTAAATAGATTATTTTCCTTGATTCAGACCTTTTGACACCTAATTAAAACAATAAACATATTGCACTAACGCTGCAATTTTTTCGTTACAAATCTAATGGAATAAAACCCTTTTAAATGTTTGAATTTATGTTATGATATATACCATATAACATATGATTTTCTATTTTAGCGACATTTACCTGTTAGGATTAGAAGTAGGCAAGATGTGATGCAATGTCATGTGGATATGCGTAATTATTGGACACTGACTAATTGACATTATATAATATTATATGATGTGATAATCTGTAATAGAATGTACTGCGATATAACTTCTATGATGTGGTGTAACATATCGTCACATAACATGACCTGATTTTCTGTTACATGTTATAAACTGATTTTATATATAATAACATAATGAGGAATTGGTGTGATAATATATTATTTGTTATGGGGTAATCATATGATTATATGTCACGTCATACGACTTTGCAATATGATACAATGTGATGTGATATAATATGCTCACTATGTAATCTGATATAATTTTTTCTGATCATATGTTGTTATATCAGATAATATGCTCACTATGTGACCTGATATAGTTTGCAATGCATTATATTACACATGTTCGTATGACGTGACATATCATCATATGATCTCTTACGGCTTATTTTAATGTGATGTGCTGTGATATATTATACATATATTAGATATATGATTATTATGTGAAAGAGAAAGAGGAGAATAATTAATTCTTTATGTGAGAACATCAAACATTCTAAAATTATATAAAATATTCCACAATATATTGTAATAAAGTGTAATAGATTGGACCGATTATTATCTCTCAATAATTGCCACTTATAGCTACACCAAATATAAATCAACTCATGATTGATCAACACTAATTCCGTTATATATGTGATTTCATAAACAAATCGTGCACTTCAGTAATTAAAATTATCAGAATAAGTCTTCTCTCAATCGGAATAAATTTATATACATACACACATACATATTTACGAATTTCAACCAGTTTGTGAAATGCTACTGAAACAGCACAAGCTAGCATCACCTAGTGATTACTAATTAAATGCGTTTCAATTTTTTTGCATATATTTTAAAACTATTACATTTTTTTCGATTTTTTTATACTCTCGCAACCTGTTGCTACAGAGTATAATAGTTTTGTTCACCTAACGGTTGTTTGTATCACCTAAAACTAATCGAGTTAGATATAGGGTTATGTATATATAAATGATCAGGATGAAGAGACGAGTTGAAATCCGGGTGACTGTCTGTCCGTCCGTCCGTCCGTGCAAGCTCTAACTTGAGTAAAAATTGAGATATCTTTATGAAACTTGGTAGACATGTTTCTTGGTACCGTGAGACGGTTGGTATTGCAGATGGGCGTAATCGGACCACTGCCACGCCCACAAAACGCCATTAATCAAAAACAAATAACTTGCCATAACTAAGCTCCGCAATAAGATACAAGACTGTTATTTGGTACACAGGATCACATTAGGGAGGGGCATCTGTATAATAGGTTTAATGTGCATATCTCCTAAACCGCTAATGCTATAATAACAAAATTCACTAGAAGCAAATGTTTTTAGCACTTCTATTGACGGTGTGAAAATAATTGAAATCGGGTGGCAACTCCGCCCACTCCCCATATAACGGTACTGTTAAAAACTACTAAAAGCGCGATAAATCAAGCACTAAACACGCCAGAGACATTAAATTTTATCTCTGAGATGGTATAAATTGGCTTTATAGGAACCGCGTTCAAAATTAGTCAGTGGGCGTGGCACAGCCCACTTTTAGGTGAAAATCCATATCTTGAGATCTGCGCAACCGATTTCAACCAAATTCGCATAACGTTCTTTTCATGTTTCTATGCCATAGTGCGAAATCGGACTACAACCACGCTTACTTCCCATGTAACACCATTTTCAATTCCATCTGATTCTTTCACTTTCCACTATGCAAATCAGGTAACAATGATTATATCGGGGTAAAACTTTGCGTGAATAATGCAATTAAAGTATGCCACCTTGTGGCCAAAAATTGTCTAAATCGAACCAAAACTGTTCAAGCCCCTAAGTACTAAATATGTGGACCCCAGTGCCTATAGTTGACCTTCTACCGAAAATATCAGTCAATCCACAAATAAATCTCAAACGAGTATACCATTTGACTTTGCGAGAGTATAAAATGTTCGGTTACATCCGAACTTAGCCCTTCCTTACTTGTTAATAATAATATTAATATATTTTAGTTACTAATCTATTTTACATGTACATTGTCGCAGTACTTAGCAAATGTTAACACACCGAAACACACAAAACGTACACATATTTTATGAATAATTCATTTTCGATTTTTGTGTTTCAAAAAAAATATTTCATTACTGGCGGGCGCTGTTCTCACGCTGCTATAAACGACAATTTATTAATCGTACAACAGGAATTCTAAATTTTTAGCTACCGCATATATTGATGACGTAGTACACGCTTAACAATTAACCCTTGCACGATGTCAACTCGGCAGCATTCCTGCAAATCACTTAAGGATGTTTTCTGCCGCTACAACCACAACAACAATAGCTGGTGAGTAGTAGACGAGTAGTAGCAGTTCGTACACATTTGTCTCACATGTTGTCTCATGCAAAAATTTATACTTTTTATTAATAAGTGATGACTTGATATATTTACTTTATATTTGTAGCACATTTTCAGTTAAATAATAAAACATTGACACTCAAAGGTTAAATCTCGCAACCTTTGCGGTAATTCACACATATTATCACTTGTATTTTGGCACCACATATCAAGTAGAATTAATGGACAGAAATTCTGAAACATTCAAGAATATGAAAAAATAACAAAAACTTGATTATTAGTTCATAAGGAAGCTCAAAAGGCATAAAATATATATAGAAACATAAAATGTTTAACATGTAACAAATTATAAAACAAATTTTTTAAGTTATCTCTTGTAAGAGAGTAACAAACGAACGCTTAAGTAAAGTATGTAGATCAGATAAAAGTTCAGACTATATAGGCCTAAAGCTAAAAAGATACGTAATCCTGCTCTGAATACAAGAATCAGCTATAATAGTTTAGCAGCTGACCAAGTAAAATATAATTATAGGTATGTCAACTTGTAGCACAGACTGTATGGAATAGATAGTATAAAAATAATTAAAAGTGAAATAAGTGCCGACCACCTGTCTCTCGCCACTCGCGATGCTCTATGCCGCTATTAGAATTAATGAACCAACAGACAGACATATGTACATACAAGTACATATGTATGTATGTACACGCTTGTCTATATAATATAGTGCATACGTGTATATTGAAATTCTTTGCAGTTTCGTGTCATTTTTATTGTTTGTTTTAAATTATATTGAAATTGTTTGGGTTTTCAATACAATTGCGCGGCTAGCCACCCAGTGCCGAGCTCAGTCGCTGCAGAGATACGATAACGACTTGTCGCAAAGTTCGCAATACGCGCATGAAAACAAATACAAATCTTACACACTCAGCGCCGCAGTAATTAACTGAATATTGTAAATTTGGTAATTTTGTAGTCTTTAGGTGGTTTCAAATACCAGTTTAGAGTTTGTAAGTAAAATTTTTGAAAACCGTACTGGAGTGAGTGTGTGCGCATTAAAAAACTATTTATGCTGAAAGCTAACGATTTTCTTCAAAATAATAAATAAATACATTTCCTAAAAAAAAAATAAAAAACAAAAAACAAGTAAGGAAGTTTTCAGTTCGGGTGTAACCGAACATTTTATTCTCTCGCAACTTGCAAGGATCAAAGCCCGGGTAATTACTTCAGGTGTTGGCAAAATTTTAAAATTTTATTTTAAGGGAAGTATTGATCCGATTCAACCCATTTTTGACACAAAGACATACTATTATCGAGCGTTTCATTTATTTATTTTATTATATGAATTAAAATTATATATCTTACACATTGGCCGATATTTTCGGTAAGAAGTCAACTATAGGCAACGTTGTCCACATATTCAGCAACTAGGGGCTTAAACAGTTTTAATTCGATTTAGAGAATTTTTGATCACAAGGTGGCATACTTTAAACGCATTATTCAAGCAAAGTTTTACCGCGATACAATCATTTTTGCTTGATATGCATAGTGGAAAGTGAAAGAATCAGATGGAATTGAAAATTGTGTTACATGGGAAGTAAGCGTGGTTGTAGTCCGATTTCGCCCATTTTCGCACTATGACATAGAAACATGAAAAGAACGTTATGCACCTCAAGATATGGGTTTTCACCTAAAAGTGGGCTGTGCCACGCCCACTGACTAATTTTGAACGCGGTTTCTATACAGCCAATTTATACCATCTCAGAGATAAAATTTAATGTCTCTGGCGTGTTTAGTGCTTGATTTATCGCGCTTTTAGTAGTTTTTAACAGTACCGTTATATCGGGAGTGAAGGGAGTTGCCACCCGATTTCACACTGTCGATAGAGGTGCTAAAAACATTTGTTCTCAGTGAAACTGCAGATGCCCCTGCCTAATGTGTGGCGTTTTGTGGGCGTGGCAGTGGTCCGATTACGCCCATATGACATACCAACCGTCTTACGGTACCGAGAAATATTTGTACTAAGTTTCATTAAGCTATCTCAATTTTTACTCAAGTTACAGCTTGCACGGACGGACGGACGGATGGACAGACAGTCAACTCGTCTCTTCATCCTGATCATTTATATATACATAACCCTATATCTAACTTGATTAGTTTTAGGTGATACAAACAACCGTTAGGTGAACAAAACTATTATACTCTGTAGCAACATGTTGTGAGCGTATAAAAAACAAAAAAAAAAATGTAAATATTTGCCGGCATGTATGTAGGTACATTCATTCAATGTAACGCATGAGCGAGAGTGCAAAATGTTTATCACCTTATCAAATTACCGCGAAATTTTTTTAAGTAACGAATCGATTTTGATGTTCAAATGTAGCGAGGTTGTCATTGATATGTACTATATATTTAAACTGCGTTGTACTTCCATTTCGTTCCATTCGCATTAAGTGCAAGTGCATAACACCTGAAAAAAGAAGACCAAGAAGATCCATACATACCAGGTGTACCGGTATGAAGTGAGCGTTAGAATATAATGTGTTGGCAGTGAACATTTGTGGCTTAATTTTTTTCTGTTTGGTTGTCATGGCATCTGTCAAACATATGCCATTACCTTACAGTCATTGTACAAACAACAACATATTATATTTTTTCATTGTGTTGAAAATGTCAAATTTTGTACCGAAAAGTTGTATTTGTTCGGCTTTAACAATGCATTTCGGCTTCGTTAGAAATTTAACACTTTCATCGTTATGCATGGTCCCTGCAGTATCCTTGTGATATTATTTTCTTAAAGTTTCTTTGGTTAGTGAATCATAAGTATATCTATCAATAGTAGTAAATGCGTTATCGAGTCGATAGTTGCTTTTTTGTTTAGCGCTGTTTGAAGGCTTTTCACGGCCAGTACTACAATAATATCGTCGCCGATCTGTATATTAGACAGGTAGAACCTAAAGCTCCACAAGCTCCTAGACGCTTTAAGTTCATTAAAGGCTTATATGGGTTTCACGGCTTTAAAAAAAAATATTTTTTATTGTCTTATTTAATTCTATAACATCTCTAGAATATTGTCCTTAAATCTCAATCAAAGCAGTAATAGTTTTGGAGATACCGCTTTGAAAAGTTGCGCGCTCGAGTTCAGCTATACCGTCACTTAAAGCTTTAAACGGGTTTTTCTCGAAACTGTGTTTTCAAAGTCGGTTGTCAAAATATCTCACGAACTACTCAACCGATCTTAATGAAATTTTACACAGTTCTTTGAAATATAATAACCAAGGTCTTGCCGCAGAGGGTTGTTTTTTGTTCAATTACAAAAATCTCGAGAAATTTTCACCCAAAATTTGCATGTTTCTGTAAAAACGTCTGCCAAATATATAATTTTGACTTATTTTTTCTCGATTCAATACCTAATTAATGATCTTAGTTCAAACGCGTATTTTTATACCCTCAACTGGGTATATTAATTTTCTTTTTACTTTTGATGATCCTGTCAGAAATTCTGCTGTCAACGCGGAAGCACATTTTTTCCGAGAGACTACCGGAAATGACGTCGTAATGACCGAGTTTTGAATATTTTTCTTTGAAAATTTCACAAAATCTTTATCAAATATGTATCTTCGAAATAATAAGAAGTTTGAATAAAATATTTTATATTTTATATGAAAAAATTTTTATATGAAAAAAAAATGTTATTGAAAATAAGGCGTATTTTGCTCGACGAAACCCATGTAACCCCATAATGATAACATTAGTTTGTTATATAACAAATTACAATCAAATAAACTATACATTTTTTCCATTGAAAAGTGTGCAATACCAATATTCAGGACTCAAAGTCGTTCACAGCTTCCACCAAAATCAACAACGGTGACTTCGTTATAAATTCCATTAGGCATATGGAGTCGGTTTGTGAATTGTTTTATTTGGTCGAGTTTCGTCCGAAGCAATAATCTAAATTTACATATGCTACTTCTGTGGTCATTACCCAAACGTCCAACTCAGTTTTGATATTCGCAGTAATAGTTTAACTATCTCTACTATATCTTAATATATTTAGACATACATACACTCGGCAGAAAAATTCTGCATACACGCTTATGTCTTATTTTCTTTTGTTAAAAAATATCTTTTATATACAAAATTTTAGAATAAAATGACTTTAAGTGATTTGAATCCTAAAAAGCAGCTGTGGGATGCACTGAAACGTAAAATCCACCAACGCACTATTACCTTAAATAATGGGCTGACATCCCTTCGACAAAAAACGCTGAGCTTACCTATTTCAAGCAAAAACCTTTAGCGAATGTTTTAACACATTGGGCAGATCTCGCAGATCTGACTTGCTGGTTAATTTTAAAAATAATTCGTTGTAAGAATATCTTTGTTTGACTAAGGTACCCAGTACTCTGAGTTTTTCCAATGATTTTTTATTCGTCGGCATGCTTTACTTTGTTGATATGTTATTGTCGGAATTTTAATCACTTTTCTTTCCATAAAACTACATATTTAATGTGCTTTAATGAATATTTAATAAATTGGTTTTTATAAAAAGTATATAAAACTATTTTATCCAACGATTTATTTTTGTTGTTACCTTGTACGCAGACTTTTTCTGTCTAGTGTATTTAGACATACATATGTTACCTACATAGTGTATCTTATTAATATTCTCATACTAGTCGGTTTTTACACCTAACATCAATACACGAGAACAGTGCAATTTCTTCGAAAACAGCAGATCACTCGTTGCACAAGCTTTATTTCATAAATTCTTCATAAACTACGTACTTAGGTTATGAATATACACACGTATATATGTATGTATATACACTGTAACCGCAAAACAATTAGTTTTCTCCGTCTTAGTCGAGCTTAAAATTCATAAAGAAACGTGTTCTAACGTAAGCCAGCCGGGCAACTCAATAGCGCTTTCATTTCAACACTACTGGAGAGGGAATGCTACTAATTGTACTCTAAGCTAGTGACTCGTTGCTGACATAAACATTAGGGTGGGCTGAAAAGCCGTTTTTTTAGAATTTTCGTTATTAATACCGAAAATATTTTTCTGTGTTAAAAAAAAAATATTTTCAAGAAAAAAAAAATTTCCGTCGACATCTTAGGCTTGCCAAATCCAGTTAAAGTTAAAAGTTTTGGAAAGTTTTTTTCTTAGCTTATATCGATCAGAAATTTAATCTCTACTAAAAAGGTCCTATAGTAAAGTTACGTAAAGTTGATAGCTTCTAAGATAATTGCGATTTTCCTCTAAAAAATGAGATTTTTCAATATGGTATTAATTTTCCTATATGAAAAATGTATCTGATCTTATTATTTTCATAGGGAATTCTATTTTCTACTGCATAAATGTAAAAACAATTTTTCTAGAGTTGATTGTTACTGAAATAATGACCATTTATTAAACATTTGCAAAATGTATGCACAGACGTAGTATTAGAGCATGAAATGAGAATGTGATGAATTTATTAACATTCTGTGGTAGTACGTATTCCTTTAGCAATAAATAATAATCGAGAATTTCAAATACAAAAAAAGTGCTTGATGCCGAGTGAGATTATATTTATTTTAAATTTTAATAATTTAAAAAAGTAAATTGAATATAATTTTCTTAATGAGCTCCCTTATATGTGCCGTTTACTCTTTACCATATGATTCGTCAAATATCTTTATAAGATCTCTCATACTTTCTTGTACTCTTGGCCAATATTCGGCTTTGATGGTGGCATTTACTCCTTGCCACGACAGACTGTAACCCGTGCTCCACTGCCACACATCGCCGCCAACTTCGCTGCCCACATAAGAGTTTACATAAATATCAACTGTCTGCGCTGTCAACATGGACTCGGTATGTGTGAACTTCAACAAATTTTCACCCTTCTTGTTGTAGCAAATATTGTTGCAAATCAATTCGTCTGCTTTGTTGGGATTGTTGCGCTTTATGAGCTTACAGCCGTGCGTACTAGTGGGACATACGAGTTTATTGCATCGCCAAATGTCTGTCACTGAAAAAAATGTTTAAATTATTTTAAAAAAAAATGCTCGGTTAGCCGAAAAAGCTCTGCAAGCTCACTATTGTCGTAGGCGAGTTCCACATTGTCTATATAGGAAACACCGGGCACATATTGCGCCTCAGCCAGGCAACAAATGGCCAAGAAGGCGATGCTTGAGATCTTAATAAAGGCGGTCATTAAAGCTGAAATATAGTGTAGTGAAGTAAAGAACGGTATAGAACGGTAGCGCACTGAATTCTACGTAACTTTAAAATGTTTTTTAACTCGCAGCCGTTAGCGCCAAACCAATATTTCTTTGGTTGATTGCTCAACTCTTTAACTAATGCTTTCTAAGCTGCCGCCATTTGCTTTTATAATCGGGTTTTCCGCAAAACAATTTCAGATATTAAAAGCATTTAAACCTTTACTCGCTCCAAAATCAGGTAGCCAACACTTCAACCTGTCCAATCGCTATAAATAATCGTAAACTTTTATTGTCTGTCATAAAATAATCGTAGGATCTAAGCAACCAACAGTTGTGACTCAATCTTAGTCATTCATGCAACGTGTTATCTCTGGCCCTAGACGTGTCTATAAATTAAATGTGAAGCCACATGAGATTTGATATAAACAACAGACTATTTTAGCAAAGCTTTTATGGGGTCTTCATTGCGCCAATGTTCAAAACGTTCACTTTTGATTAGTAGGCACCTACTATAGGCTTTTTTTACTGATATTTATCACCAATCGAAATTGGATTAAGTGATTGGGCATTTATGACTTTTTATTGCTTGTTTAAAATTTTTTTTGTTTATAAAACACAAAATATATAATATAATACTTTTATATATAATAACTTAGGTTCCGCTTATAAGCTAGTCAATTCAAAAATATTTTTATATGAACTTGATCAACAGTTTGGTTGATTTATACTCGTATTCGATCTACGCGAAAACCATTGATGCCACAGAAATCAGTACTTCTAATGACATAGTTACAGGATAGGGACGGCATACTGTGTAGCCGCATATTTACATATAATACCTTCGTAAATTTGTGCTGATTTTGAAAACTTTTCAGCACAAACACCATAATAAGTTGACCTACCAATAGCACCGTTATAACTACGCACATCGGACAATATGCAAGGATTCGGAAAGCAACCACTCAATCTTCTGGCGCTACTCATGGGACTCGTTTGTTTTAGTCTAACTGATCCTGCTAGCGCTTATAGCCAAATGGTCACCAATACATATAGCCAAACCATAGCCGGCGATGTTCTTGTTTACCTGAATGCCAGTAAGCTGTTATAGACAACGTTTGTTGTAATGAAATATTTCAGTTTGTTATACAATATTTTCTTTTTGATTTTGTAGCGTACTGGCGTTGTGATCTCGTCTTATGTCCCGCAGGTACGGATCGATGCGTGGTGACGAAATCTAGATCGCCTACAGAACCGAAAGATTTAATACGACGCAATATCTGTGTGTCCGCCAACAACGAGAGACTTGTCGATGAGTCGGTTACTGAGCCAATTAAGCAATATGAAGACAATAATTTCAAATTATTTGTGAGCAGCAGCGGTGCGTCTGTATTGCAAGACTCCTCCTATTCAAACACCTATACATCATATTCAAGTTCATCTGCTACTGCGACTGCTGCTGAAAAAGCTGCTGTAAAAGCTGCTGTAAAAGCTGCTAAAGAAGCTGCTGCGGAGGCTGTTGCAAATGCTGCTGCGAATACTGCTCATATTAATCGTCAAATTGCTAGAACTCTCCAGCAGACCGGTGAAGCAGTGAGAAGAAGCCTCGAAGCAGCTAATCAAGACGTAATAGAAGCATTCCAAAGCCCAGGCATTTGGGGGAAATGAGCATACATTTCGGAAGACAGTGAGTTTAGCATTGCAGAACGCTCTTTTTAGTTAAAAAATCAACACTGGAAAATATGCTGTGAAATAATAAAAATCCGTATATGTATGTAAATAACCGCTATGAGTATAATAAAAAAAAATCTGTTAAAAGATCATTAAGATTGTTAAAATTTTAATAAAGAAATTATGACTTGGTTGCTGGATATTTGTTTAGTATTTAGTAAAATTACATTAAACACTTATTCGCACTCGTAGCCGAGAACCCGAGAGAACGTGGTATCTCTTTGTAATGTTTAAGATTCTCTTTCGTCTTTCTCTGCAAATTGGGCCATGAATCAGCGTCGATTGTTGTGTTCACCGATTGAAATTCCGATTCGAATTCGATTATAGCCAGTAGACCAAGACGATGAGGCGCTCACATACGGCTTCACAAAAATTTCGACCGTCTTCGGGTACACCAAGGTGTGCAAATATTGTCCAACCAAGTGCTCGCTCGTATCGTAACAGCTGTTTGTACGCACCAGAATTTCGACTTATACTTGAAGTTGAATCGACACATAATCCAACGATATTAACATCATACTATTGGAAGAACTAAAGGACTTCGAGAAGCAAATTTTGCAGGTGAAAACTCGTTTGCCAAAAGAGAGGTTGGTCTCTTAGGACCAAGAAAAGTACAGTGGACTCTCTTCTTAGTTATAACAGTTAATACAGTCCAGACTTGCGTATCGCAATCCAGAAAAACTGGATATGCTTCTTTTCACTAGGAAATACAGCTGCTGCGCGCAACACATTAAACATTTATACGGATGGCTCAAAAATGGAGGACGGAGTTGGTTTAGGGATCTACTGTACAGAGTTAGGCATAAGGCAGCACAGCAGTATATTTCAGGCAAATGTCTTTGCTATTGGGAAATCCGCAGAGTCAACATCTACGTGGATAGCCAAACAGCAATCAAGACTTTAACCTAGTTTCGCATATCGGCCTGAAGTGTCTTAAAAAGCAGGGCAGCCGTGGAGGGTGTCGCCAGAAGTAAGCGACTTCATTTATACTGGTTGCCAAGTCATAAAGGCGTCGGGGGCAATGAGATGGTGGACGAGATTGGCAAGAGTGGTGTACGGCTGCCACCCGAAAACGTGATCAACATTGGAAAACCCATGAATTGTCTAAACGACGATATGGACAGAAGAATCAAAACGCGATGGAACGATCTACCCGGCTGCAAAACTGCAAAAGTCATGTTTAAACCGGTAGATCGGAAGTATACAAAATTCCTACTTGCACTCGATAGAAGGAACTGTAGGAACATGATCGGAATACTCACTGATCACTGTTTGGTGGCGGCACACGCCTGCAGAATGGTGCTGACAGATCGAGAAGACTGCAGAAAATCTTGTGCATTTGTCGCGCATTGACAGGGTTTCGATTTAAGCATTTGGGGGCCGCACGGTATGAGACACTGGATGAAGTATCAATAGTGAGGACACAGAGTTTAGTGAAATCCGCGTCAAGCGCAGGCATCCTAAAGAATGACTACTACTCATGGACTTCGTCACTGAACTCCATTTGGTATCGCAAAAGACCAAAACTGGTCAATGCGTGGTTCAGTAGCCTACCAGACTAACCTAACCTAACCTAATAATTTAAATAATTGTGGTCTCACCATAGCTTTCGGATGCGTCAACATAAGCTTGATAATATCATTCCGATCATAGCAAATATTGGTACAATTCTATTGGTATGGCTAATCAGGGTTACAAACAATCAAACCACATAATCTTGTTCCTGTAAAGTTCGGCAATTATATAACAGGCAGTTATAAGCTTTGGACCAGCGGTTATCATATCATTTTCTCAGAACACAACCATCTTAGTTAAATAGGAATAGCTTAGTATATGAAGTGCTCTGATGTGCCAGAAGAGAAAAAAAGACATAATTTTAAAGAATGAGTCACTTTTTTTATCAATATCTGAAATAAAGAGAATGGAAGAGGCGCAGGGCGCGTTAAGACTTATCTAAACAATTTCAGATACCGACGATTGGGCTGTCACTGATTTCAGGTGTCAATAAATTAGATAAGAGTTGTATATATATATATACAAGTATACGAGTATCTACAGAGTATATCTTCAAAGACAACTGAGAGCCTACAATTTTTAATTTGTAAACAAATTAAAGTGGTTAAAAGCGATTAAAAGAAATTATATCGCTAATAACAAAATAAATATACATTTTTTAAATTTAAAAGTACAATATATATGTATACATATTTATAAACTCGTATATTTATTATTTTATCTAGATTGAGTTGGTAGTCTGGGTCGAAAATAAATTACAGGCGTCATTATTATATCCCATATCTTGATGAAATCGTTGTTGTTGCCATGGCAAATTGCCAGCTTCTGGTATCAGCGAGTCTTCAAAGAGCTATTAGACTCATCGACAGCTTTCATATCATCTCTGACTATCTTCTGCGTATTAGCCCAATCCTCAGCGGCTACGGTGCCCTTCACCTCCTGCCAGCTCAAACTGTAGCCTGTCGTATATAACGACAGCGCGCCAACATATGAGTCTATATCGATATTGACAGTTTTTGGTTTCACCATGCGTTGTACTTGGCTCAGCTGCCGTGTAGCGGTACCATCTTTCGTATAGCAGGCGCTCGAGCGAATCAACTCGTTTTTGTCGTCCGGATTGTTACGAATCGAAATCTTGCAGCCATGAATACGATGTTTACAAGTTATGCGATCACATTGCCAAGTGCCTGTGAATTATATAAACGTTAAAAAGTTCATGTCAAGCAATGATGGCTTACCATTTTCATATGAGAGTTGCACGTCATCTATATAGGAAATGCCGGGCACATATTTGGCCTCAGTGAGGTAGTGTAATGCAACCAAAATGGTGCAAAGTGTTTGAAGGAAACGCGACATTACAAATCCTTATAAACTTGACGCGGTTGATTACGAGATTGATATTATTATCGCCAGGACACAAAGAGTAAAAAATATTAGAGCAACCGTAAGGCTTCCTAACTCCTCAAATTCAGTTACCAAACTGATTCTATAGACTAAAATGAGTGTGTGCTATCATCAATATGATTTTTAAAAAGTGATTTACAAAATTATCAGCGCGAAAAGCTTTACTGAGTGGTGAGAGTTCTACGCTTCTCCAATATTTGTGCTTATCTTTATACTCATCTCTCATAAAAGTAAAACAAAATAATAATATATATATAAATATGTATATAAAAAGAAAAACATAAAAAGATAACAAAAAAAATTTTTTTTTTAAATAAATAAAATATAAAGAAAAAATAAAAAATATATAAAATAAAATATAAATAAAATATAAAAAAAACTAAATAATATATACAAAAAAAAAATATTATATTAAAAAAAAATAAAAAACATATAAAACATTATTTAAAAATAACTAAAAAAATAAAAATTTTATATATTATATATAAAAAAATATATAAATATTATGTATATAAATAAATATATCAATATATAAAAAAATATATAAATAATATATATATATAAAAATATAAATGAAAAAAATATAAATTTAAAAAATATAAATTAAAAAAATATAAATTAAAAAAATATAAATTAAAAAAATGTAAATTTAAAAAAAAATAATTTAAAAAAATATATAAAAATTATTTATTAAAAAAAAATAACAAAAAAATAAGAAGTAAATAAAAAAAAATAAATAAATCAAAATTAATAAACACAAAAAAAATTTAATAAAAAAAAATTAATAAATACAAAAAATTAATAAATAAATAAAAACAAATAAATAAATAAAAATTATATAAAATAAGTAAAAAAAAGGTAAAAAAAAATTAAATAAAAATATAAATAACTAAATAAAATAACTAAATGAAAAAAATAAATAAAAAGAAATATATAACTAAATAAATTTAATAAATATATCAAAAAAATAAATAAATAAAAAATAAATAAATAAATAAAAATAAATAAATAAATAAGAGAATAATAAATAAATAATAATTAATAAATAAATAAAAAAAAATAAAAATAAAAAAAAATTAATAATAAAAAAAAGAAATAAATAGAAAAAACAAATTAATAAATAAAAAAAAAGAAATAAATAAAAAAAAACAAATTAATAAATAAAAAAAAAGAAATAAATAAAAAAAAAAGAAATAAATAAAAAAAAAAAAATAAATAAAAAAAAAAATATAATATAATAATAAATAATAAACAAATCAATAAAAAAATAAAAATAAAAAAAATTAATAAATAAAAAAAAAATGAACAAATAAATAAAATTTAATTAATTAAAAATTAAATAAATAAAAATAAATAAATAAAAAAATAAATAAATAAATCAATAAAAAAAAAAAATTAAAAAATTAAATAACTCAATAATAAATAATAAAAAAATGAATAACTCAATAATAAATAATAAAAAAATAAATAAAAAAAATAAAAATAAATATATAAAATAAACACATAAAAAACCAATTTGCAAAAGATCAGATTTAGGCAATTTTTATTAGAGTCAACATCGATTATTTGGTCGTTTGGCAATTAACTGGATATACATTTTTTTGCAAGAATAACTCGAGTATGCAGAAAAATGTATTTAGGTGTAAATAAAGAAAAGTACTTTATGAATAAATATAAAACGAAATCAACAAATAAATATACATACAAGAACTGAAAACAGCTTATAAAAATACTATTAAATAAGTAAATATAGAAATAGTTGAACTTAATTTGGCAATGTTTGTTTGCATTTTATGCACAGAAAGCAAAAGTAGGATATAAAGGAGTGATTCTGTGCAGACGCGTTCACAGTTTAAACCACTAATAATAAAGATTTACTAAAAATTTAGTAACTTTCAGTTGCAGCACGCAGCTCATCCAACAGCGAGGGCCCATCCAACTTGTTAGCACTTGAAGTTTGACGCATATTCCTTGTATGCGCGCTAATAAAGTGTTCCAAGTCGCTGCGCAAGCCGTCGACTGTGGCGTCCAGTTTATGTAAATTTGGCACACATTGATTGCTACGTTGAATGAGATCCAGTATGGTGCTGGTCTTCGGTCGACGTGTAGCTAACGCCGATTGTTGAATTAACTGCAAAATTTCAGTCGATTTTATATTTCATACAATTTCAATGGTGTAAAATAACTGTGTAAAATACCTTTTTATAATCATCTATTAAATTGGCTACCTCATGCGCCGGCTCATCCGTTCGCACTTCCTCCGCAGCCGAGTCGCGTTCAATGTTCGCTGCCTTGCCCAAGTCGGAAGCCTCAAATTTTTTGCGCTCCATTTCTAGAGCCTGTTCGAGCGCCTGTAAATGCAAAAAAATTATTTTCGAATTTTAACAATAAACCAATACAACAACATACTTTAATTGTGATTTGGTTATGCTCGCACTTCAAACGCATCTCCTCCAGCTGCCTACGCGTCAAACGCAGTTCGCGCAGCTCTTCCAACGTCTTACACTGTTCGAGTGTCAATTGTGCGGCCCGCTGCTCGGTCGCACGCAGAGCCTTCTTTAACTTTTTGATATTGGCCAAGAGCGTGTGTATGTGCAAGTCGTAGCGCTTCATTTTTCGCTTATACTCCGCTTCGAGTACTTTGGTGAGTATACGCATGCGTTCGTTGCTATCTGATTCGCTGGCGCTGGAGTTTCCATTTGCATCGGTTGAGGAGGATGTTGCTTCATCGGTGCAAGTGTGTATTGTGTTTTTAGGAAGTACTACAAATTCTGGTGGCAACACCAGTCCATCGCGTTTACTCTTCTTCAATTGTTGCAATTCTGTCTCCATTTCCGTCAGACGTGCAGCATAATGATTTCGTTCTGTTTTTAGATTTTCCATTTTTATTTGCAAAGCTCGCAACTGTCGCTGATTTTTTGCCATTTCTTCGGCGTAATCTTCATTGAGATGACGTTCAAGACGCTCATTTTTGCCTTGTAATTCCTCAATTTGGTGCTGCTTTGCTTCGCTGTCGGCGAATTGAGCACTGAGACTAGCTTGCATTGTTTCGAACTCCTTTTGGTATGTTAATTGCAGTTGTGCATTTTCGTTTGGTTTTTCATTGCTTTTCGCAAGCAAAGTAATTTCTTGGAGTTGCCTCAACTCTACATTCTGCTCGGCGAATAGCGCATTCAGCTCCTCCAGCTCGTCGTTTTTCATCTGCAACTCTGCTCTCGCATTATCCTCTAATTTTTGTGCAGCTTGTAGCGAAGTAAGCAGCTCTTCCCAGTCTTCTTGAGATTCCGTTAGCTGCTTCACTTTGCTATTTTGCTGCTCTATCAGCTGTTGTATGAGACGGACTCTTTCGTTGCGTCGGGCTTCGTCATGCTGCATAGCTGCCTCCAAACGCTTTTCAAGCTCCTCAACATTGGCACGCAAACGCAGAAGTTCATCTCTTTCGTGTGGTAATAGTTCCGGTGTGTTGCTAGCTTCGGTTGTGTTTTCATTTACTTCAAGTATGGACAACTTACTTTTCAGTTGAACAATCAATTGTGTCTGCTTTTCAAGCGCATTTTCAATTTGAAATTTTGCTTCCAACAAGCTTTGCATGTCGTTTATTAGCCGTTCATTCTCTGTTTGAAGACGATGAATGGTTTCTTCGCAGTTCCTCATTTGAATGTTATGTAGTCGCGCTTGTTCGCTACTGTCTTTTAAATGCCTTTCGTCATTTTCCAGTAATTGCTTTTGCAAATACTCTAACTCTTTGCTATAAACTGTAACTCTTTCAATGTTGTCTTTTATGTTTGTGTTCATTTGTACATCGGCTTTTTTCGTATTTACAATTTTTAGTTTTCTGCTTTCATCGATGATTTTTCTAATATTTGAAATATTTTGAATGTCGTGTGATTTTTCATGTGGACCGGGTTTTTCATTGACTAGAGATTCAAAAGCTTCCAAAAGTTTTCGTTTCTCCTCAATCAACAGACTTTGAGAATTCAAATATTCCATCAGTTGTTGTTGTCGCTCCGATAATTCACCAAACGGCCGATTGTCTTCAACACTAGTTGTGATGGAAGGACCTAAAAGCGTTTAGAAATTATTAGTTATATTTACACTAGCTGTACTTTGTTTACAATATTACCGTTATCTAGTGCTGCCGTGCCATTACAAATAAGCTCCTCCAAAGCACCGATTAATATTTGTCTCTCTTTTAAAATTTCACTTTGGCGACTCAATTGTTGCATAAGGGTCTCATTTACAGCTGTGATAGTGGCACAATCTGAATCCCTTGTACACTGTAAATCAGGCTTAGCTTTTGCTTTGTCCACACATTCGTTTAGGCTATCGTTGTTAGCTTCCAAAAACCCACTATCATCATGCACATTATCATTTATGCTTCCTAAATCAGTTGGGCTGCCTTCGCAAGTTTTAAAACTATTATTATCCTCGCTTAATCGATCGCTCAGCGCTTTATTTGCCTGTACAATTATTATTTGCTGATTTTCGTTACTGCAATGATCCTGTGCTCCGTTACTTTTCACGAACTGCACCAATTTCGCTTCTAATTCCTCATTTCGCACGGTTGCACTGTGCAATTTTGCTTCAAGCTCATTTATTCTCATGCCCAAATCCTCTGTATGTTTAAGGTATTCTTTCAATTTTGTCCTCAGCGCGTCGATTTCATGTTTGTCACCGTCCGATTGGAATCTCAGCTTTCCATTTTCGATTTCGAGAATCTCCAATTCGAAACGCGTTTTTTCACAGAGCGCACACATGCTAGCATATTGCTCATGCAGAGCAATCAATTCCCGCTTGACACTCTTTAAACTAGATTGTTCAGCACTCATTTGCTCAAGCGTAATGTCATGCTGCGTGCGAATTTTTTCCAAATTCTGCTGTAACTCAGATATTTGCTGTGTCTTTTCTTCGTCCGTTTGCTTTAAATTTTTTAGCTCACATTTTTGTGTTTCTAGTGAGAAGTTGAGTTGATCTATGTGTCGCGACTGCGCCTCATTCTGCGATTGCAAATCGGTCAAAGTATTTAATTCTATCTGAAGCGCATATAAAGATTTTTTTAGTGACGATATCTCAGAGGTTTTAGCATTGATTTCGTCATGATAAGCGATACTCAATCGATGCACTTCATCCATATTTCTTTCATTTTGCATATTCTCATTGAAATGCCGCTGCAGCTCTTGCATTTCAATTTCTTTGTGCGCTAGCAATTCCTGCTGTGTTTTGCTCTGCTCTTTTAGCTCCTCAATCAAATTTGTCATTTTTAGCTTCTCAGCGATTTCTGCATTTAACGCTTCATCTTTCGTTTTTAGCGTGCCTTCTAATATTTGCCTTTCAAGTAACAAACGTTTACACTGTGCTGTCATATGAGTATTTTCAACCTCGACACCAGCAAGTGTTTCCTGCAGATCCAATACTTTTGCATCTTTTTCCGCATTCAATCTTCTCAAGTCCTCAAGCAAAACATGTTTTTGCTTACGTAGAACACTGATTAGTTTTTCCTGGTCATTAACTAATGAACGTTGTTGTTCCAGTTCAAATTTGTTTAACAGCTCATCAGTTTTATCGCTCACAGTTGTCAGCTGCTCATCTTCCACTAATTTTTGCATAGCTTTATCTCGTTTCGCTTGCAGCTCCTTTTCCAAATCGCCGCATTTTTCATACAGACGCACACATTCGCGTTGTAAACGTTGATTCTCTTGCATATATTTACGTTCTTGCGCATATATTCGTTCAAGCGCCTCCAACCGCGTATTTTTTTGTGCCCGCAACTCCTTTTTATACCAATCTTCCGATTTATTTAGCCGCTCAAGTTCGCTGCGCAGCTTTCGAACATCTTGCATAGCACTGAACAGCGCTTGATCTCGCTCCTTCAGCAAATTATGAATATGCTGACAATGATTATTTAGCTCCATCTGAAATGGGCACGACATTTCGCTGTTGTTTGAACTGGCAGAGTAATTCCCGGAGTCATATGCTAAACCGGAATTTCTCGTCCCACCTACAGCAGATATTTCCGACCCATCTGAAGTGTTGTGCTGAAGTGCAGCAATCTCCATGTTTTCTGCTAAAGGAATTTTTGTCTCATCTATAACTTCATATTCCCAATTTAAATTTACGTTTTCAGTTTGAATCCCACTCATCATGAATTTTGCTGTGCTATTTCTCACTTCTTAGAATATAAATTCTAAAGTTACCATGAATACTTCTATGCAAATGACTGACTGTTGTTGTTATAACGATTATGCAGACCCTGTTTGGAGGAAAGCAATAAGTAAAGTGTTGTTGTAGCGGCAAAAACATTCCTGAAATAATTGTGAAGAATGCTGCCGAGTTGACAGCCCTTGGCCAAATAAAAATTCGGGTTCGTAGAACCTTAGGGGGTGGGGAGTTAAGTGAGTTGGTTTCATTGGGAATGCAAAGATCGGTGGTGCTTGAACTTGAGGGAGACAATGAAGGTGTTTTTAGCTCCACTATGAGTGGCGTTCAATGTCTGTGGGAAATTGGTCGCGACCAAAATTTAAGTTCGTCGACATGTTGGAGAAATGTTCTCTTGATGTTCCTAGCAGAGGACTCCGCTTCAAGCAGGTGACTGTAGGGATGGTTTCGGCGAAAACACAACGAGCAGAAACTGCTTGGAGAGAAGTTTGTTATACTCCTTTACAGTGAGCATGGTGTCCTCACTATGAATTTACTCGATGGGAGACTTCAGAAGAACATTCCTCTAATATGTCGACGAACTGGAAATATTTATATGTATACTTTGCCAACAACGTCTCTTTGTTCTTGCACCAAATGTTGCCGGCTAGCGACTAGAGGATCTTGTTTTGGATCTGTACTTTTGTAACAATCGCGGTTGCGTGCGTAGTGAAGGAGTGCAGACTGTCGAATGTAACGCCTAAAATTTTAGGATTATTTATCGTCCGAATTTTACCATCAACGACGGAAATGTTGGGATCCAGTCTGTACTCCGTAATTTGTAAATCGGATGGCCGTGAATTTGGCAGGGGAGAGATTTATTCTCCTTGCAGTGAAGAAGCGTGAAAGTTCTAAGAGATATGCGTTCACTTTTAAACACATGCCATAAAATCCATTGTCCGACGACATTATCGTACAATCATCTGTATATGAATCTAATGTTTAACCACTACATTTCAAAGCTCCCACAACCAACAAATGACTTACTTGTCGTGTCTGGTTTATTTATGGGCCGCTGACATCACGTCTTGTTTTCAATTGATATTTTATCAAACTCCTATAAAAATGGAATATTTTGGACCCTTGTTTTTACATCTTCGAAACTTATGCAAACGAATAAATCTAAATCAACACAATTGTAACGCTACAAGGTAATATTTAATATATTTATTTTTGTTTTTCACCCAGCCAATTTCTGTTTTGCTTTCACTGTTTTCAGTTTTTTCTTTTGACGTATACATTTTATCTCATTCTATCAGCTGATAGTAAGTCACTTACAATTCGGGATACCGCTCATGTCATTCGGGACTAGCTTTTCGGTTTGTCGGTATTGGGTATGGAAACATAGATAATAAGTTAATGTATCATATAAATATATACAAAAATCTGAAATAATAATTATTAGCTGTTTGAAACGGCGATGGTGTATTTTATTGAGGAATCACTTTGAATTTACCAGAATAAATGCATGAATAAATAACTTTTAAACGAGTAGGTAACGATGCACACAATCAGCTGTGCTATATACGTCATCGCCGTCAATGGGTTTGTTTTGAATCGCAGTTAATTGATTTCTCTTTGTATAGGTTTCTTAATTTTCATGTGAAAACAAATCGAGATACAATTATTCGGAGATCACTGCAATTAATGGTGTATTCCTAGATTCTTTAAAATACAGACATATGTAAAACAAAATTGTAAATAAAATATGTTAAGTTGCTAATGTGAGCGAAAGTAAGGATATAGCTAAAAAGATAAGATAAAATAAAAGTCTCGAAATTCACAAATCTCAAGGTGAGTAGAGTATATCATATTGGCATATCAGATCTGTATTTAAATTGCGTAATTATGTGTGACTTTCTGCAGTTTTATAATGGCAGAGGAAAACACGGAGGAGGCATTTATTATATACCGCGAGGGTGTGGCACAACAGTTGCAATGGAATTCAGTGCCACCTTTGAAACGTGAACCTGCCACACGTCTCTGTGCTGTTGATCAATACGAGTTACTACTGATACTCACAGCTGATGGCTCACTTTACATTGCTAAGAATTCGACGCATTCCCCCAACACCCTGCATTTAGAATTGCACCGCAAATGTATAGTGGATATAGCCTATTGTCGGCAACTATGCCAACTGTTTGTTGTAACGGAGAACGGTGAAGTGCTGATGCAAACTATAAAGCAGACCACAAATTTGTGCAAAAATTCTTGGCGATCGCTATCATTTGATCCACTCGAGCTTTCCGAGGAGGGAATTTTTATTGAACGTGTTTGCTGTTCGTCTCGAGGTGTAGTCTTTGTCACACGCTCTGGAGAATTATATGTAATGGGCAGTTGTGGTGATATATTTCACGCAGAAGTGCAGCCTAAGCATATACGCCTCATCGAAGAAAGTAAATATATACTGGATCTCGTAGCTGGTGATGAGTTTTTTGTTTTATTACTTCAACGAGCTTACCCTACAGAAGGCGATCCGCTGAAACTATTAAGCAATGGACGACAAACAAATTTTGCTTGTAAGTAAATTCAAATTCTTATAAGTTTTACAAAACTAACAATTATTTTTTATGCCCAGCAACATCAACTCATTCTCCTTCATCTGCACGTGTTGGCTTTGGTAAACAGCTAGAAATGGAAAATTCTGTCAATTGTGGAGACGATAATGTAGATAAAAAAGTTGAATTAAACTCGAACTCATCGGTGCGTTCTTATAGCAGCACGAAATCTAGCCAAACACAACAAGATGACATTGACTACAATCTTAAAGAAATTCTTAAACAAGGCTACTCGCTGCTGCACACACAAGTTTGCACATTTGGTGCTGCGAATGGTGGTCTTCTCGGCACTGGCGATCACATTAAACGCAATACAGTAAATTATCTGCAAAAGCTGGAAGCGTTGGGAGTATGCAGTGTGGCTGCTGGTAGAGAACACAGTGTAGCTCGCACACTAGATGGCAGATTATTTCACTGGGGTCTCAACACGCAGCTGCAACTAAATAACCAAAAAGAACTAGCTGATATAAGTTCGCCTACCGAGCTGAAATTAGACAAAGTGGAACTGGAAGTTACGCAGCGCAACATACTCAATGCTTGCTGCGGCGATTTTCAAACTGTTCTATTGAATGCTCGCGGAGAAGTACAATTAAAGGAGCAGCAGCTATCAAGCTTTGAACAACACTTGCTCACTTTGAATATGCGTGACGCCATCAATCGGAAAACCATTCCTTTGGTGCTCGCCTGCGCGAACTATACTTTGCAGAACCGACGTAAATTTCAACGCCAGTTCCACGCCTATTACACTGGACTTCAACAGCAATTAAAAATGCTATTGGTGTACCGACATGGCATACAAATGATTAAGCTTTTCCAGCAGAAGAGTACAGCTTTCGTGTTGATGCAATTGCAACACATATGTCAGTTTTATCACAAACTCTTGTACCTGATAGCTTGTACGTTGAAATCCTTCGAAGAATTTTACCGTTCCGACTTTACAAACCCCACAGAATTGGTATTTGTGCAGAATTACCGCGAGTGCATTGAACTTTTTACACAGTACACAAAAGCTTATTGCGACCTTTACTCGGTCGATGCTTTCGCAGAGGCCTCCAAACTGTATAGCCATTTGTCGAGTGTACCGTTAATGCCGGGACAGCGCGAGCATAACATCGACTTGCTGCGCATCTGTCAGCAGCCATTTCAAGTATTCCCCCATTATGTGCAATTTCTCGAACAACTCGTAAAAACGCGTCCCGAATACACAGAGCATCTTTTCGCTTGGGACGCGTACTCACGACAACAGCGCATTGACTTAGAGTTGGCGGAGAACACCTTAGAGTTTTGGCAGCGCAATGAGCGCAACACGAAAATACGACATTTTCGTCGTAAGCAACGACGCGTCATACTTACCTCAACGACGGTGCCATTGAAATTGGCTCAAACCACCATGAGCATGTCCAGCAACACTTTTATCTTATTCTCCGATTGCTTTTGTCAGGTTAGTGGACAGTTGCACACATATCCCTTGGTGACGTTGTGGGTGAAGATGGAAAATGACACCGCTTTACGAATAACAACACCGGAGCGCACATTCACACTGCTGGCACGAACGAACCACGATAAGAAACTTTGGTACGATCAAATTGAGTCGGCAGTGAAGATCGTTTTAGGACGACCGGCGGATGCCAAGTTGTCGAGCGTGCGCACTACTGCTCACCTGTTTAGTCGCAACCATGCCAAATATGCCGGGGTGCACGCTTATGGTCGTTGGCGCAATGGTGTGCTGAATGGCAGCTGCTACCTCGAGTATTCGGACGGACGTGTATACTTCGGACAAATTAGAAATGGCGAAATAGAAGGTAAACTTAACAGCTTTAGTTTGTTAGCTAACTGTGGCAAATGCATTTGACATATCGATTTTCTAGGTTATGGAAAAATGGTAATACCTTCGGTGGGTCTGTACGAAGGTCATTTCAAGGCTGGCAAATTCCACGGTCACGGCACCTACGAGCTGAAAGATAATGAGGTTTACGAGGGTCACTTTCGGGATGGTCTATTTCACGGGCATGGCATGCAGCGCAGCAATAATTGCACATATGTTGGCGAATTTCAGGCGAATGCCAAATGCGGTTATGGCATTTTGGACGACATGTTAACGGGTGACAAGTACATGGGCATGTTTGCGGACAATAAGCGGATCGGTGCTGGCATCTGCATTACGATGAACGGCGACTACTTCGAGGGTCTCTTTGCCAACGACGAACTAGCTGGTCCGGGTATAGCTGTGCTGGAGAAGGATTACTACTATGAGGGCGAATTGTCATTGCAGGGCCCAATTGGAAAGGGTGTTTATTACATGCCCACGGGTGCAGCAAATATTGTGGTCTGTAAAAATCAAACTCGTCTTTCTACTATTTTATTACAAAAACAATTCATGTATATAGGATTCAGGCCTAAACGAGAGCGATGAGTTTGCGTGTCGCCAAATGTTAGGCAATGTGTTGAGCGGCCAATTAGGTGGTACATGGCAAGAAGTGCGCATTATATCAGGAGCTATGGCTATGAATAAGCATTTTCCCAAATATCCAAAGTATTAATAATGGCATTGCTATGCGAATTTTGCCAAACAAAATTAATTAATTTTTCTTTTCCAGTGCTATTGGTGCTCTTGTTGTAGATAATAATCGTAAATGGCGTTCGCTCTTTGAAAATTTTGAAGAAGAAGTGTTCGGCAGTGGTATCGTTAACGGGAATCAGAAATCCGACGATAGCGTGAGTTTGACAAAAGCGCTATGGAATCGTATTGCGGTTTACATGTACTCACTGCGAGAGCGTGAGCGCACATTAGAGCAGCAAGACAGCGCTTATCAGTCGACTCGTAGTTACTTTGCCAAAAACATATCACTCGGCTTTTCCAACAGCTTCGATAAACTTAGTCTAAAGTCCACAAATAGTTTGCTCACAACAGCTAAATCGAGCATACTGGATCTGAGCAGCAGTCTTACGGATTCGCGACGTTCCCATTCACAGGAAATGCTTTACGACGGCGACGTAAACGATTTCGATAACGTCTGGGGTACAACAAGCTTTACACACTACAACAGCGAGGATAATAACTCCATAAGCGGTTTGCTTAACGCGCAGATCAATCATTGGCTGGGCGATGCCAACACGCCGAGTTTACGCTCTTCTTTCGATAGTATACTGAATATTGGCGAAAGTTTTAATAATAATAGGTAACAAATTATCATAAAAAAATATTGATCACTTAATATAGATGTTTTTTTTTATTATTTATTTTAAATTATTATTTAAAAAATTTTTTATTTTAATTTTTTTTTATTTTTTTTAATAATTTTTATTTTTAATCATTTTTTTTTTAATTATTTTTTTTTTTAATTATTTTTTTTTTTTAATTATTTTTTTTTTTAATATTTTTTTTTACAATTTTTTTTTTTTAATAATTTTTTTTTAATAAGTTTTTTTTTTAATAATTTTTTTTTTTTTAATAATTTTTCACAGCTTCACTTCCCAAACTGATCTGGAAATCGTGCCCAGCTTCGGTATCACTTCGCTGACAGAACAAGATGTGGCCGCCGTCAAAGATTACCTGCAACAAGCGTTCAAAGATCGCTATCATCCATTGTATATGTTGAATCAACGCATATCCAACTGCTTTTACAACTCATACGGCTGCTGGAAAATGAAGCCAACACCCATACTGGCAAAGCAAGCAATGCTAGAATGGGAATCGATCTCGAAACGTGTTTATAGATTTGTGCAGAAAATGTTTCCGGCGTTGCCCGATGACTATTGCGTTATCGAAAGCACACGCGAAGTAGTTTCGCACATCACATTGCTGTATCCCATCGTACTAAGTGAGGGCATTTATTCGACACTGTTCGTGCTCTACGCTAACAAGTGCAGTGTTAAGGACGAAATGTACAGACAGAACCTTATTTATGCGGACAAGCTGACAGACGAAGATCTAGCCGCATGTCTAGCACTCGAAAGGTAGCGTAATTGCGTTCCACTTATTTTTATAATCATAACCGCCTTTCATAACTGCAGCTCATTTTTACCGATCGTGCGTCATGCCTGTTACGCCGAGGCCATACAAACGTTGAAGCAACTCAAAGAAAAATATAGTCCTAAAGCGATGTTAACTGTGATAGAGCGTTGCATACAACAAATAACCGACGCACACAAGGCTATTGCTAGCCGTAAGTTTCTATAAGAGCGTACATTATAACGGTGTATTCACATTCTACCAATTTTCCATATTTTAGTGAACTCTGTGATATTAGCCGCCGACGGCATGATGCCACTCACGCTTTTTCTGGTGCTGCGCGCGGCCGTACCTCATCTCGGTGCCGAGTTAGCGTTGTTGGATGACTTGACCGGTGGCACTAATTTTCAATTTGAAATGAACGGCATTGCCGGCTATTGCTACACGACACTCAAGGTTGTAATTCTGCTTTTTTCACTTGCTGTGAATTTAGTTATATTGTTTTGTGTTTCTGCAGGCTGCCTATGAGCATATCACCGCCGTGCCTCTAAATAAGTCGTAATGCGCTCCATAACACCACCTCCTTGATTCTTACGTATGCACGCCAGTTGTGCAGAAAACTCACCAAAACTTGTTTTAGTAGCAATTGCATTAAGCATTAAGCTTTGTAGTTGAAATTTGAATGAATGAACATTGTATAACCTACGCATAAGTTATCCAAAATGTCGGCGTTTAAAAGTGTAAAGAATAAGCGTACTGTTCAAAGTGACCTATTGAGTTAATAGACGCATTTCACAAATTTCTTATAAACGACAAATGCGATTTCAAAATTATGTATGCTCGAAAGGTGCGTACAATTATTAAGTTGAAAAAATTCTCAGAAACTTTTTTGAGCCTGCTAAAAAAATTCGACTCAATTTAAGCTTTATAATTATCGTTTGATTACTATTATTATTATTTCTAAGATCATGATTATTAATCCTTGTATTAGTTGTCTGTAAAAAGTTTGCTGAAATATTTTAAAGTCGGTATTATTTTTAAACAGCTAACCTCAACAATTCTCAACGAAAAAAGATTCCCCAAACTATATATTGTTACCGTAAAAGTGAATAGAGTAGACCAATAATTGTGAAAGTTGTATAATTAATGTTAAATGCATACTAACATTCCACTGATGAAAAATAAAAGCCGAAAATATGGTTTATATCCAGACGAAGTAGAAGAAGATTAAGATGTAGTATTAATAAAAGAGATCTGTTACCAAAAATGTCTACACAGCGAATAAATTCATTTATGAGATCTACATACATATGTACATTAAACTTTTTTTTTTATATAAATACTTTTTTTTATATAAATACTTATTTTTTTATATAAATACTTTTTTTTTATATAAATACTTTTTTTTTATATAAATACTTTTTTTTTTTATAAATATGCTTTTTTTTATATATAGTTTTTTTTCATATATAAATATTTTTTTTTTTCTATATGTATATAAATTTTTTTTTATACATAATATTTTTCTTTTATAAATATTTTTCTTATATATAAATATTTTTCTTATATATAAATATTTTTCTTATATATAAATATTTGTTTTTCTATATAAATATTTTTTTTTGTTTTTTATAAATATTTCTTTTTATATATGTGTGTATATGTATGTATATATAAATATGTTTGTATTTATATATGTAAATATTATTTTTTATATAATTGGTTTTCATTTTTTATATTTTTTTTTTGTTTTTTGAAATAAATATATTTTTATGTACATAAATATATGTATGTATATAATTTTTTTTCATATAAATATTTTTTTTTATAATATAAAAAATTATATATGTATATAAATATTTTTTTTTTATAATATAAAAAATTATATATGTATATAAATATTTTTTTTTTATAATGTAAAAAATTATATATGTATATAAATACTTTTTTTTATATGGAAATATTCTTTTTTTACATAAAATTTTTTTTATTAAATATTTTTTTATAAATATACACAAAATTTTTTTTTTGATTTATATACATATGTATATTTATATGTTATAAATATTTATTTTTTTTTATAAAAGTATATATGTATGTATACGTTTAATTTCGTTGCATATCTATAGGATGATCCAATAGGCCTTTAGAATTTACAGTCAATTTCAGAATATGTCAATTAATTAATCTTTTTAACTAAGATATCCGTGCTCGTACTTGATACAGATTCAACTGGTGCTGCTTTGCTATCTTTACCGTCTTGTCTGGGTTGATGTTTAAAGAAGCCGTCTGGGAACTTGCTAAAAAGAATCTTATCCAAATGCTGTGGGAAATGGCGCGCGTGGAATTTATATGTCACATACTTGTTCGGCAAACGAATGCTGGCGGTCTCCCGATACACGAACATTACATTGTCGTCGTGTTTGACCAATCGTTGCGATTCGGCGTATAGCAAACCGAAGAGCAGATGTTTGTACAACGAACTGTAATAATTTTCATCCGTTATACCATTATAGTAAAGAAATCTGACGTTGTGATGCATCGAAATAAAAGTCTCAGCGGACTTCATGCGTGTTATGAAAATAATTAGTGCTTTTGGGCGGAAATGTGAAATCTTCGCCGCCATACGACCGGTTAACGAGCACACAAATATCAAGGGTGCGTTCATCTCATACGAGGCACAGGCGACGGAACGCGCTAGCGTGTCGCTGCCGGTAAGCGAACGATCGCAATATGGCAGCTTACTGAGAGCCTCTTCGATCAGCAATTCCGAAATTGAATCGTGCAAATAAAAGAAGTAGAAAGCACTATTGGAGTGATCACAAGGCAAAATATATTTATCGGGATAGTGAAATATGTGATGATAGTGCGCTGGATCGACGATCAGTCGTTTGCTGGCGATCAAAGAAGGTGCCAATACGATCACTTTCTGTAGCTGATATGCGCGTTTGATAAACGCCTCACCGGCCGGACAGAGATGTAGTATATCTTTCTCTGGATGCTTATCAGAAGGACTCAGTTCAATGATGAACCCATCATAGCTTTCGGCCATCCAATCCATGTCGTTGTCGCAACCTTTTACTTCATTGAGCACAATACGGGCATATATACGCATATTATCACAACTCAACGTCTTCAATGCATATTTTACATTTTCGAAGTATTCCTCTGTGCCACCAATGTACGAGACGATGATATTTATGCCTACCTCCTTGCAGAAAGTGATATCCTCCAATTCCTCCATAGACACAAGGAATTTCGTGCAGCGTGAAGGGAATAAAACCGGCATTCGCGAGCTCAATTTCCCACCCACTTCCACGGTGCAACGCAAGTGCGAGTCCTTCTTGTGCACAGACACTTGTATTTCGGGGCCGATGCAAATAAAATCGAAAACATTCACATCGTTGAATAGAAAAGCCGCGTTCACGTAAACGCAACTCTTGCTACAATGCGTCGACCATTCACGCATACTAGTCAATGTGATCTCGTCGCCTTTGTTTAGCACGACCTCGACGTCTGGTGGATACATTAGGCCGGTGTATTGCAGGCGTGGACTAAGTTTGGCGAATATTGTGGATGATATCGGAAAGCCGATCTCCTTGGAGAGCTTTAGTTCACTTTCTCGTACACGCAAAATCAAAGCCTGATTTTCAACGACAGTACCGTAAAAGAGATCAATAGCAAAGCAGCTAATGCCGGCATCTAAATCAATGCGGGAAAGATATATAAATTATATAACAAAACTGAGGGTGGTAACATTCAAAACCCCGTCCTACCCAAAAATCGTAAATAAATGATATTGTAGTAAATAAATATGATCCACTTGCTTATGTCTACTTACGCAAATAGTTAATTATTGTATCATCAAAATCGCTACATGTCAGTTCAATGCATTTTTTATTGTCTCCAATGGCACCCTCCTGAGCTTCACTTAATATTTGAAAACCTTTAAAGTAGCCTTGCCACACATCACCCGCCTGCTCTTCGGTACCTTCCGACTTAGTTGCTGTTCCCTCCTCCTCCTCCATTAAGTCTTCCATTTCCGCCGTTTCGGAACCATCAAAGCTGTCAGATATGGACTTCTCCGTGCTGTAGCTACGCACGCGCTCAATCCAATTCTGATCCATTTCGTCGACATACTTGTCGGAGCCTAGCGCATTGGTGAAAATGCTTTGATGTTGAAGGCGTGCCTGCATTTCACGCACATAGTTCAACTTCTCCATATCGGCGGACAGTAGCGTACAGCGCACTTTCTCGCATATATTCGTAAAGAGTTCGTCATCATCCATAATGCGCGAGTCTTATTATGCGATTGTCTTTTATTTAAGTTGCTTGAACGCCAAATATTATATTAAATTTCAAATTCATAAAATCAAAACGACATTTCTGTTTCATTTTGAATATTTTTTATTTTTCTTTTCATTAAAAAAAAAATTTAAAACGTTTTTTCGCTACTACGTGTATAAAGAAGATAAGCGCACAGAAGCTAGCATGTCACGATTGACTTTGCGGAAGTCATTTTTTGATAGTATATGGCCGTTAATACTGTCTGACAATGTGTGCGACACGCATAGCAAGCACAGCTGCTCTTACTATTATCCAGACACAGTGTTCGACAACATCTGGCTGCATGGATATCTCGCCGAACGCGGCTTCAAAAATTATCAACCACCAACAGTGATTCGTTGTTGCTTCGATGAAGACGAGGGAAAGCTATTGCTATGTGAATCGAGCGAGGACAACAACGCCACTGTATTGGAAAAATCTAAACCAAGTGGCATGCAAGCAGATGAGTTTTCCTACCAATCACAGGACGAGGAGGACTCATTGTATAGAGCCAAGGCCATAGATATTCAATCTTTGGGACAACAAACCGCGGCAGTTAATAACTCTTTCGATACGCGTCGCAAGCTGGCGCACAGTTTCATAAATCGCCAGTACCCATGGTATATGCAATGGCCCGAATATTTAACGCCCTTCAAGCTTACCGATGTAGCGCGACAAGATTTTAATAGCAAGTTCAAACAGGCTATCATACAGGATATGATAACCTTTAACTGTAAGTTAATTATAATCGATTTGGCCAAACAGGTGTGTCTTCATCTGTTGCAAGATTGGTTAAATTTTACGCGCTTTGCCTTTGTTATTGTGCTGGCGCGCAGCGAGGATGCTGTAAAGCAGATCAAACTGATGGGTCAAAACTTGAGCGCAGTGATGGTGTTGGAAAATATGTCATATTCATGGCATGAACAGTTAACAGAGTCGTTGCGTATAGGTGTGACGCATGCCACTGCAATTGGGGTTTTCGAAAACTGTGCGAAACCTTTTATATTCGTTTTCGGCCGTAGGCGACACTGTTGCAAATTGAATATGCATCGAGTGCTGAGAAAGACTAATGAGATCGGTTTATAGCACAAGGCTAGGCATACATATACGAATATACGAAAGATGAGTTTTAAAATGTAGTAATTCTTGGAAACGATGCTTAATTTAATATACAAATTTTTTTTGGTGGAAATTATCGCTATAAGCAGAATAGAAAATTTAACATAATATTTAACTGTACCAATTAAAACTTTAAGATGTGCATTAGCATTATCTACATATATTTTTTACAAACTTTTATATGAAAACGACTAATAATCGGATATGGTATATGGTACATACATCTTTTAAGATTATAAATTATGAATTGTTCTAAATACATTAAATCTAGAAGTCTGTTTTTATCTTATTGTATGAATATAGTTTTAGTTGTTTAAATAACTTAAAATTAAAATGCATAAAGATTTCTCTAGTCATCTTTTGCAATTGCTATCCACTCTAATCAATTTATGTCAGTAGTAAATTCATAATGTCACGCTTAACGTTACGTTTTTTTTCTGCTGGCATTTTCTTTAACATTGCAAATACCAATTCACCGAAAATAGCATCTTCACAGCGATCGCTGTTATTGGTAACGTTGTCACTACTGCTATCGCCTTCCCGAACTTCTACTTTATCACGCTTTTCCTCTGAAGCCTCTTGGATTTGATTGCGCACAGCTTCGTCCTCCTTGGCTCCATTCCTATTGCAAGTAGCCTTTGCGTCTTCTTTCATGGGTGTTTGGTCGATTTGTTGAACATCGCATGTCCGTTTATTTTCTATTTCTTCCTCCTTGACATGTACTTCCATTTCAAAATGTGTAAGTTCCTCGGTTTCATATTCCTCATGCTGTTGCTCTTGCTCTTGTTGTAGTTCCTTTTTAAGATCATTTGCACTTATTTGTTCAGTTACCACATTGGACGTTTCGTATTCAGGGCCAAGCGTCTCTACTTCCAGAAAGACATATTCCTCATTGCCGCTATCGTTCTCCAAATCCTTTTCAGTGATAACGAACTCTGGCTTTAAAACGCCTTCTGGCATATATACAGCTTCGTTTTGTTCTTCTTCCCTGGGTGGTGGACGCAAATATGGCAATAGAAATTCCATTTCTTTTTTGTAGGGGAACTGATTAGACTCTAATTGATTGTCTGCGATAGCATTACGTTTGTAATGTTCACGTAAAAAGTGCCAACGTGTCTTTAACAGTGCCTCTATAAAATTACAGATATTGAATTATTTTGTTTAGCCAAATCTAGTGCAATATGCACGTACCTTGCATTTTCATTTGTTGAGCGATTTGTTGCCAACCACATCTACGATCAGATAATGATGCATTGCTTTTGTAAAGCAAAGGACACTGTCGCACGGCCTCTATTAGTCGATGATTTATATCCATATTACTTTGTTATGATTTCTTTGTTTTTAACTTTTGACTGTAAATACGCAATTCTGGTGATTTTCATTTGTTTACAAATTTAGTGTAAGTGACTGACAGCTCGAAGTTGGAGTAGCTAAATATTAAGTGTTGCCATATGTTGTGAATAAAATGTAGTTATTTAGTCTACTAAAGAATATTTAACCAACAAAACTAATACCAAAAACTGTACATAACAAAAGTTTTAATATATAAATACCTTTTTTTTAAACTTGAATTACTGTCATATTGATTTATATTATTTCATGCACAAATTACACGGATCATTCGTTAGGAAATTTTATGTACCACTTACTTACTTTTCTACGTGAATGCCGTCCTTATATTTATGACTCTTCTTCTATCACTCTTCCGTTATTTTGACAGTTCTTAAAAATGGAAATATCAACAGTATTTTTTATAAACTGCGCTAAAATTCACAAAATAAATGAAGAAATTAAAGTAATTTTAACATTTAGTTTTTGTTTGTGTATGAAATATGGTTGGGTGTGCTGCTAATACAGTGAAAATAATTAAATAGTACCAGTGCACATTTCCGTTAAAAGAGTATTTTAATTGGGGAAAAGGATACACTGTTGACGGGTAATATACTTGTACATACAGTAGTTCAAAACATTTTTGTGTGTAGTATATTTTCTTACACTGATTGACATACTATATTTTAAAAAAGCATTTGTAGACAAGTATTTAATTAAAGAGTAAGAATTCCAAAATACTTCAAAATTAGAATGTTTGTATCTTTCGCCCGTATTTCCTTCACTTTCAACTTAACATAATTTATTAAAAAGGGATCTGAATGTACTATAATCTAATTTTCGGTAATGCATGCAATATATGGAAAAAAAGTGGAAATCGAAACTAAGTTGACGTATCATTACTCACTTGTTGTGCAAAGTAAAAACGAGCGTAAAACAATAAGTTATAATGTGATCTTGTATTACCTTTCAAAGTGCTTAGTAAAAACTACGGTATTTGATTTCGATTAGATTTCTTTATAACATTTAGTAAAGCATATTTTTAGAAAAAGTACAACGAATTAACAGTACCTTAGAATACAACGAAAGCTTATTTATGTACAAACAAATACTTATTTTAATAACAATAATACACCTACTCTGCCTCTGAAAATCAGAGCAGGGATTTCGCATTATTTAATGATGAATGTGCAAAACTAATTTGGCTGGCTGTATTTGGGCTAGTGTTTGGTGTTGTGGTCGAGGACGGGTTAATTTGGCCGGCTTAGGACGCGGGCCTGGACGGCGTAGCTTAGCTGGCGCTGGACGACGTCTTGGACGGAAAGCTACTAAACGTTCAACACGTGGCAGCGTGAAGATAGTTTGTGGGAAGACAGCACGATGGTCAATGATCGATGCACTTTGTGGTACATCAGCTACGGGTGGTGGTGGTGGTCCATACTCATCAGCCGGTGTACCTGATGGTGGTGGTCCGTAGGACGGTGCAGGCTCAGGTAGAGGTTCCTCTACAGGTGGCACGTATGTCTCGTCTGGTGGTCCATAAGTCTCGTCGGGTGGTCCGTATGTTTGGTCGGGTGGTCCGTATGTTTGGTCTGGTGGTCCATATGTTTGGTCTGGTGGTCCATATGTTTCCTCTGGTGGACCATAAGTTAGTTCTGGTGGGCCATAAGTGGGCTCTGGTAACTCAAAGGCGGGTTCTGGTTTCAAACCTGCTGGCGGATAAGGAGCTGCATCTACTGGCACTGATGGCACTGATTCCTGTCGAGCTAAAAATGGCAGTGGACGATTATTGACGGGTCCGGGAAAACGCAAACGAGAACGTGGCGGTTCAGCGCAAGTCAGTGTGGCCAATAAGCCAACTGCGGCCAGTGTGTACAATATTTTTGACATTATTGTTCTTTAATTCCTTAATGCAAACCCGTGGATTTTCGTAAAAAATTGTGGTCTCCAAGACCGTTAGAAGTGAACTGATGTTGTTTAGGAATCACTGTGTCTATTAAATACGATTTGTCGAAGTCGACAACGGTAGTTATGAACGCATTTTGACTTCGCGTTTGACCTCCACACTTTTGTTGTTGTCTCGCATTTCTTTAGTTTTATATACGCAAGTAGGTTTCCTTCGTGCGCTTATGCGAAGATATGTATGTATTTATATTGACGCTCGTATTTGTAATAAGACAAAGCGAAAACCCAAAATTTCCAATGAGTCTATAGCGTCTGATCGACAACGCGCGCTCAAACTATATGACAAATTTGGCGTTGCCGCCAGACGTGATTGTGGTGTTAAATTACATTTCCAACTTACCACGTCCACTGTAGCTGCTGCTTTGTGGCGCAGAACAGAACACACAGTTCGAAAACTATAAAAAAAATATTAAGAAATCAAGAAGGTTTTTTGTAAATTACATAATTGCGTAATGTTTATTATTATATTGTTTGATACTGTTATTACTGCTATGTGGCTATATACCTATATATGCATATACTTATATATTGATGTGTGGTTGTTGCTTATCGGCGCAGCAATATTGGTTAAGGACAACCATAGCACATACATAAAATTAGTAAGCATTAGCTCCTTGGACTCAGAAAAAACACAGTTCGCGATAAAATTAATATTAATTCTCACAACAGCCGGTTCTACGTTGCCGGAATTGACCCGCATTTTATCCGGCCAAGGGTTGTAATTTCAGCGATTTAACACTGTTTGGATCGGCAAGTTTTAGTCTACTAAAATTAATATCAAATACATTGAAAAAGTTTTCAGATATTAGACTCGAAAATTTTAGGGGTTAAACCTTTGGTGCTTGAGTTTTTCTTGACTAATTCTCAAATTCTCCTTTCTTGGTATTGTAATCAGATATCACTACCCCTTATACTACCTGCTTCCACTTTCAGTGTATATATGGGAATCAAGACCAAATTAATTTAAGCATTCTTCCTCACTCAATTTTTTGTGAGCTGCCTGCGTAGATCTTATAGTAAAAAGCAAGTTTTCCATGCAATTGAATATTGTTTCGCTCTCTTAATCAGTCTCTTGATAAAAGGACTTCCATAAATAGCCATACAGGATCACCATTTGTAAGAAAACGTCGATGGACCGGCTTCAAGACACATAAACAACCCAGGTTCTTGAGCGTCTCGGTACGACTGTTCAGTTAAAACACTTTGCTTAGACAGCTATGTATGTTTGTTGTTAATATTTAATGCGTAGCCGCCTAGCGTTAGCGCTGATCCGCAACCTAGCCTTGTCTGCTGCCCCTAACGTTGCATATGTAAATATGTATATGGTACATATTTGCGGTTCCATGCCATTAGTAGTGATGTGCTTGTTTGGGCGTATCCTTGAATATCCTGCCGCTCGCCTTATCTAGCACTCGGCATCTCGCTGTCTGTCTGCCTGTCTGTCTGCGCGTGTTGTTTGTAATGCATGTTGCATTACAATAGTGTTGGGTTGTAGTTGTGCCACCAATAGTGTTGTTATTGTTGTCATTGTAACGTGTTATGCGGCGCTTGTTGCGATATTTTCTGCATATTCTTCTACACTGTGTGGAAGGCATACACACCGAGACACATACCGTGTGTTAACGCGCAAGTGTTCCTAGCCTGTGTCTAACATCGCCAACACCGACACCGCCAACAAGCGCGCCCCGCAGCGCTCGACGCTGTCAGTTTGCTTAGCTGGCCAAGTAGACGATGATGTTGTTGGCTAATATTGAATTTATTTGCTGTTTTGTAGTCCATTATTCTTCGGCTTTTGGGAGCGTTGTTTTTGTGCTTTTTTTTAAATTTTTATTTGCTTGTTCGTTCCTTTTGTTGTTGCAGCTGTTGTAAGAACGTGCATGTTACGAAAAATTGCAACCAAGCGGCGGTGCTGTGGCGAAAGGGTGGCGCAAATGTTGTTTGATTGTTTGCATTGAATTTGTGGAGTTACGTTGCAAGCTCAATGGAGTTGCGGCTAATGTAATGGTTTCGACACAAACAATTTGCGCGGACTCCCTAAGCAAATAAAGACGTAAGGCAATGCAAAGAATATGGCTAACATGGAGAAATAAAGCAAAACGGCACATTTATCTAACGGCGGTGCTATTTACTGCAACACTTACACATGCACCTATGAGCACCCACCAACACATACTTGTTGCTGTCGTGCTTTCTGTGTGCATATCCAACATATTTCATAGCAGAAGTTTGTGGAGAAGGCGAAGTCTGAGTAAATGTTATCCTACATTTTTAAAAATTAAATACGTTTTTCGGTTTGCCTGGAAAATCTCGAAACAAAACAAGTTAGGAAGGGCTAATTGATTGAATTTGGACAATTTCGGGTCATAAGTTGGCACACCTAAAAGCACTATTTGTTAAAAGTTTTATGTGGAAACACTGATTAGTGCTTGATAAGTGAAAGAATCAGATGGAATTTAAAATTGTGTTATACGGGAAGTAGGCGTGGTTGTAGTTTTCGCACTGTCATGTAGGAAGGTGAGGATAATACTACTTGGCGAATTTGGAAGAAATCGGTCGAGTAGGTGCCGAGTTATGGTTTTGACCTAAATGTGGTTGTCTTAATTTGACATTGGCTGCGCTAAAACCCTCTTATATCATCTTAGATATAAAATTTAATGTCTCTGGCGCATTTGGTTATTGATTTAACGCGCTTTTAGTAGTTTTTAACAAAACCGTTATATGGTGAGAGAACGGAGTTATAATCCGATTGCATCTATTTTCACACTGTCCGTAGGGGTTTTTATAGCATTTGTCCAGAGCGAATTTGGTTTTTGTAGCTTAAGTGGTTTAGGAGATATGTACATTAAACCTATTAGAGGGCGGGGCCATGCCCATTTTTGCTACTGCAATCTCTGTACCAACTTACAGGCTTATGTCTTAATTAAGTGCTTAGTTATGACATTTCATAGGTTTTCGATTAATGGCGTTTTGTGGGCGTGGCAGTGTTCCGATTACATCTACATTTGAAAATCTCTTATGGTACCAAGATATCTTAATTTTTACTCAAGTTACAGCTTGCACAGACGGACAGACAGTTACCCGGCCTTCAGCTCGTCTCGTCAACCTGTTCATTTATATATACATAACTTCATATCTTTCTCGATTATTTTTGTAGTGTGTAATTTTGGCAGTGGTCCGATTACGCCTAACTACGTTACCAAACTTTTTATGGTACCAAGTTAGTGGTCATCAAGATATCTTTATCATTGAACTTAAGTTACAGCTTGCACAGACGGACGCGGACAGACACACAAACAGTCCCCGGATTTCAGCTCATCTCGTCATCCTGATCATTTATATACATTATGTATGTATCTATATCTATCTCATTATTTTTAGGTGATAAAAATAACCGTTACGTGAACAAAATTCTGTAGCAACATGTTGCAATAGCGTAACTATAACCGAGTACATTAATTAAGAAAATGTTTGATTTTTCTGCTAGCGCTTTAGAATAGCTACTCTTCTTAATCGAGTATTCCAAGACGCAATAATGAATGTTCAGAAAATGAAAATGGCCATTGTAAGTAAAAATATGTAAGCCATATTTTAAAGTAAATGACGTAAAAGTCTAACGTGTCGTTCTTCGGCTTAGTTATTTTGATCCTTAAATCAAGTTGTTCCTACGAATTGTTTGGGTATGTCGTATTCATTCCGAGTTGAAGCTTTCTTACTATTTATAGGTTCGGAGTCCACAGTTCAAATGTGCCGCCCAAGTGTATTTCATAGCCGATTGTTTTACCAAATAACGTTTAACGGTCAATATCCCTATACATAGTTTTCCTTGTCTCTCCACACACACATAAAGGCGTTACATGGGTCTTGTAGCTTTAGATAAACGATTTTTTTTATTCCATTGTACAACTCATTAGAAATATTATCTGAAAATGTCAAGTCGATTCGAGCCAAATTTCCAAATATATAGGCGTTTAAAGCTCGTAGTTACGGTTGACTCGACTTTCAGAAACTTTCAAGGCGTTTTTCTCAAAACTGCGTTTTTGAAGTCGGTAATCAAAATTTCTCGATAAGTTATGAGCCGATGAACTTGATATTTTACATATGTACATCTTTTAAACTACTGCTTGAACGAAGGATGTTTCTTCCATCATTTACAATGCAGTTGACAATGTAATACGTTACAAAATTTAGTGCAAAAGTGCATATATTTTGCCAAAAACAATTTTCAATTTTCAAGTTTTATCAAAATCCTTTATTCAAATAGTAGCTATACTCACCTAATAGAAGTAAAATTTTGGTTTTTTGATTTCAGCCAAAAATTACCCAAGCTACAGTGATTACCGTGAGTACATTTTTCTCACGCTGACGTTGGTTAAGGCGCTGTCAATGGCTGAATTTACAATATTTTTCAATGCAAATTTTTTTACCCGCTGTTGACCATATATAGATTATGTTGTAGCTTCAAAAAAAAAATCCAGAAAAACAGCCTTAATTTAAGCCGCAAGACCCATGTAACCCTTGAACGCATTCGAATTTAGTCCCAAAATTTTATGCTTTGCGGCATTTCACTTTTACTCAGCAAGTTTACTGCTAATTGAATACAACCTTGACCATTTGACCGATTATGCTGCACCGAGTTCGAGCGCAATAAAAATATGAATATGTGAATGCCTATATATTTGCACAGAGGTGCGTGCATGTACATATGTTTGTTATTTTGGTCATCCATTTTCCATTTTGGCCACGGCCTACACGCGGTGCAGCTGTCGAAAGTTATTGTTGTTGTTGCTTCTCTCGTGACACGTTAAGTGAAATGGCAAAATCTTTGCTAAGTTGGTCACGTATTTAATGTCGGTTTTACACACTTCAACACGTGCGATTTTTATGTCTTTCATCTTGGTCGCAAATGACCAGGCAACGAATGCCTGCTTGTCTTCGAGGCTTGTGTTGCTTGCGCTCGCGGCGAACGCGTGTATGCCCCTTTGTTAGTTTGGGTTCGTGCGCCTTGACCACTTAGCCACAGGCCGGCTTATAGAAGCTCGCGTCGTGGTACTACAGCGCCGCTGAACAGTTGTTAGATGTGGATGCGTGGCAACATGTGGAATCAGCCTGCAAAATTGTAATTAAGAGTAAAATAAATGGTGCCACAGATGTTGCATATTGTTTGGCCAAACATGCGTTGGATATTTTAAGGCATTGTGGCGGCCTTTCACACGCACACATATGCCTCTAGATATGTAGGTATGTACGTGTGTGTAAGTAGGTCGTAATTCGTTCTTTTCGTTTTTTTTTTTTTTTGTTATGCAAATTAATTCGGCAGTTACTTTTGCTAATGTGGCTTGTTCTTGCCGTTTTATCATTATATGTGGCACATATCGTTAATGCGGTGTCAGGACGACAGCGTGTAGTTCGGCAAATCAAGCTAATGCTGGCACAAGCCAATCTTGGCGCACTCATGCAAATTTGCCTTTCATTTCTTTGGGATTTTTATCAGTAAAAGCTTTAAAAACACATTAGATCACCTACTCACACACACACACACACACACATATGCAGCCAAAGCACTTTGTGACCAGTGGCGTTCATGGCCTTTCGCTTGTCATTCACCTGACTTCCATTATTTCCACATTTCTACTAAAATGTTATTGTAATGGGTTTCAAGTACGACTACTTCCTTGCTTCAAGCCAGCTTAGACGGCAGCGCTCCTCGCAGTCGCTTATAGCCATTAAAAATTACTGTATTCTTATGCTAAAGAGGCAAGCACATCTAAGTACGAGTATGGTATGTGTATGTGTGCGAGCATATGTAACTGTGGTAGAGCTCACATGCGGAAAAATATACTGTTGAAAGTAAACCAAAGACGATGCTTACACATGCACAGTAATGCTCACATGTAAATTTGAAAGCTAAGAGCGTAAGGCACTTCAGGCAAATTACTTAGACTTACCAGAGCTCCATTCCATGCTCCATTTGATTCCGACGAAAGGTTTGCCACACTACTTAGAAATCTAACGAAAATGGCAAATAGTGCTTTTTTGAAAGCTCCATTTTTGAATAATGCAAAAATAAACTCACAGTGTTTTTGTTATTTTTTATTATTGTTTATTGTATTTAAAACTGTTTACCGCAACACTATACTAAATTGAACTAACACTGTGCCCACGCGCAGTTGACGAGTCTAAACTTAAATGCCTTAATTAACTACCAGGCGGTGTACTGCGAGGCGAACGAGAAACCCTGCGGCTGTGGCTTTGGTTGCGGTTGCACACGCTGCAGCAACTTAGCTGGCGCTACACGACGCGCCTTAATCAGCCGCACGGGCACGGGCACGGGCGCGTTAGTCGGTGCGCGGCGCCTGCCTTGTGGGAAACGTTGGAAGACCAAACGTGCTGACTGCTGCGCCGCTGCCTCTTCCTGGGCATCAAATGAGTTGCTCACCGCAATGACGGAGCCATCCTCTGCAACTGCAACGTAGAGTTCCTCGCCTTCATCTTCAACGGGCGCCTCCTCTACTACCTCTTTGGGCTCATCACTAACTTCCGGCTGTGGTTCACTGGGCTGCTGCTCTTCAACGTTTGCTTCTTCTTCCTCTTCCTCTGCAGCCACATCAACCGCTAAATTCACATCGCGTACGGTGACACTTTGTTCGGGTGGCAAGTAGCTGTTGTCCGGTGGACTGTATACAGCAGCTGGCGTGACAGGCGCTTCAGTCGGTGGTCCGTAAGTGCTATGTGGCGCTGGTGGGCCATAGGTAGCGTCCGGTTGCGGTGGCGACGGTGGACCGTAGGTATTATCTGGTGGCAAGTAGCTTACATCCGGCTTGACAGTTGATGAGGGCAAGTCGAAGGGAATTTCAGGCGTCACACCTGCAGCTGGATAACCCGTCGGTGCAGGTGCGGGTGTGACCTCTTGGCGTGCAAGGAAGCGTACACGGACGCCGGCGGGGCGACGTGCCGCTGTGCGGTAGCGCGTTGGGGTTTCGGCAGCGCAAAGCGCGACCAGTAATAGCAAACCGACAATTGGCTTAAACATTTCGAAGTTTGGCTTAAGAGTAAAGCGCGTGTGTGTGTAGAGGCTGCTTCCTGGGACTGAGTTCTAAGTTGCGACTGCCTTGTCACTTCACTGTCTGTTGCTGTGCACTAAATTACCTTAGCTTTTATACCATGTTTTAGTAAAATATCTGATAAATATTAAATTCAGTATTCTCGAATTATGACTAGCATAAGCCGGCGCGCAGTGAGCGGTTAGTAATTTTTGGGGTTATCATGTCATGCATTAACGGCCGACTTGTTCGCTTTGGATTATGGCTACACTATTCTTATCAAAAGCGTTGTTCGCTACTGCGTTTAATGCCATTTACGTGACGTATTTTCAAATTAATTATGTATGCTACCCCCATAGTCATAATGTTGTTGTTCACACAAACACCTCAACGCCACCGCAAACGTACTGAGCTTATAGTTTTTTCGCCCTGCGCGCTTCCTCTCTCGCTCTCCATCTCTCTCTCTGCTTGCCTTTGGCATTATTTCTCCCCCAACCAAAGCCACATTTCGTATGCTCGGAGGGTAATTATCGCTTTAGCGTATCTGGAATTTGAGTATAATTAATTTTCCAATTCAATTCAACGACTCACCTTCTAGTTTTGTTTACAAAATAAAATTAGCGCCGGCTGAGATGAGTCAAAAAGAGAAATATGTATATGCGTGTGAATTAATAAACTAAAAATATATTGTAAATTTGTTAAACAGTGCTTAGGCGACTCAAACGCAAGCGCGCATTTGCTGGCTCAGGGGCGCGGTTGAGGTATTGAACTCATCAAGGCAAATGCATAAGGTTATAATGCGCCCAAAAATTTATATTCTTTGTACAAGCTACAAATATTTTGCACGCGTCTGTATACCAAATGGATATAACAGGGTTTTATTGTTGTTCTTCCGTTTGCATTTCCAAATGGACTTAGGCTAATCACAGAGTGTAACCAATAGATTTTTTTTTATAAGTTGCTTTCCCAGCATGTCTAGAATTTCGAAATTCGAAGTCGTTTGAAAGATACAGCAGTTAGAAGACCGAATGACATGAAATGTCTAGGGTAACATACACTCAGCACATGTAAATGCATGGAAGGAACTATTATCAATCAAAAATTCTCAAAATTTCGATCTTTTATAGCAAAAAAAAAAAAACAAAAAACCAATAACGCAAAATTTGCAACTTATTTTTCAAATGTCTACCAAAAGTCAAATTTTTGGCATATCCATTTGATAATAGTCCATTTCTTGCACCTAAGCTTACAGATTAAAACGCCGCTAATTTTTGTTTTTGTTTTTTTGTTTCAGACAAACCCATCAGAAATCGTGGCCGAAGTGCACGATATTTTCAGCTTAAATTATTAAATTATTATTTATATTTATTCTGTTAAAATATATATTAGTAAATTATTATAAACTTAAAACTCTAACTATTTACTGGTCGTAGAAAAAATCTCAAAAAAATCCCTTAAAAACAGGCCGTCACATGGGATGAGGTCATAAAATAATTCTACAATCTACAAAAACAAAGACATAAATACTTGCCACAAACAGCTAGCTCCAATGCGTATTTGACTAATTGAGCTTCATCTTATCCTTATGACACACATACCCACATATATCTATACATATGTATATACCTGCATATACAGGTCGGTTGAAAAGTGTCTGCGCTCGTAATGAAAAAATACTGTTCTTGTTACGAAATATATTTTTTTATTCAATATAATATTGCTTAACTTCAACACACTTATTCCAAAGATCCTACAATAATGTTATGCCATTCCTATAATGACTTTCCGGTAACTCTGAAAAATACCCGTCTACGGCTGTAATAGCTTCTTCATTCCTTTTTTCCTTTTCACGAAGGAATTGTTTCAGGTTTCTGAAGAGTTAGTAGTCGCTGAAAGCCAAATCTGGTGAATACAGTGGATGTTCAAGCAATTCTTACTTTAATTCGTTGAATTTTGTCATTTTCAAAACAGCTTTGTAAGCAGGTACATTGTCTTGATGAAAATTGTCTTTTCTTACAAATTTTTTAATCCAGCTAATCCAAAAAACTGCAATAATATTCAGAGTTGACTGTTTTACCTTATATAATCATCAACAAAATTCATTTTGCATGCAAAAAAATGCCATAACCTTCTCCGCTGATCGTTGTGACTTCACCTGCTTTGGAGCTGAACAACCAGCTTCAGTGCACTGTAAACGTTCTTGTTTCAATTTATGATCATTACGGTGGATCCAAGTCTCATTCATAGTTATAAAACGATGCAAAAAATCGGTTTTAAGCTGCTTAAAACGCTCCAAATTATGCTGAGAAATTTGTTTTCGATTCAGTTTTTGTTGAATTGTTAACGTGTGCGGCACTAACTTTCCAAACAGCTTTTTATGAAAAATACTCAATAATGAATATGAAGTACTCATTCATCTGAGATGCCTTTGGCATTAGCAACTTCACGCTGAGTCAAATTTGGTTCTACACTAACAATATTATGAACTTGCTCAATGATTTCTGGTGTGGTTGCGGTTTTTGTTCCTCCTTCCCGTGGATCGTCTACAAGCCTACTACGACCGCGCACAAGCCCAAAGTTCAACAATGCGCTTTGAAGTTGAAGACTCCGTATACACTTCTAACAATTGTTCATAAATGTTCTTTGCTTTTAAATCTTTTAAAATAAAGAATCTAATCACTGCGCGATATTCAATGTTTTCCATATTAAAAAAATGCTCGGATACGTCAACTTCAAATGGCTTGTAAACAAAGAATTAATTGACAGAATGACTTGTTACTTTGCATGTGTTATCACGACAGATGTACCAACTTGAGAAGAAAAAAAATTTGAAGCTAGTAGTGCTATTTATTGCTGAGCACTTATCACTTTTCAACCAACCTGCATGTACATGTAAAGTCGCAAAAGTACATATGTAAATAAATGTACCATACAGTTATGTTGTGCCCAATAATTTGAGGTTGTTCATTTGTGTCATTGTGCTTTGTTGTTATTATTACACACTGCTGCTTGTTTTAAACGCATACACACATATGCACTTAAGGGATTTGTTGTTGTTTTTTTAGGGACTACAATATATTTAAGTAAAGGTTCATTCGGTGGCTTAATAACCCAGACGCAGACAAACTTAAGCTAAAGCAAAAACAAAATAAATATATAAATTAACTTCACTGCCACCGATAACAAAGCGTAAATGGAAATGTTGCCCGGTGTTTGATAGAGAGCAAAGGATTATGCACAGCTTGTGATTGTGAATGGCGGCTGGCTGCAGCAGAGACAAAGTTTGCGCTTGTTCAACGATGTTAGAACAACAACAAACTCGATTTAGTGCGAAATTCAAATACGAAATTAAACAGCAACTATTTTTCTTGCTTGCCATGTATGTATGTGTGTGTGTGTGTGTGTGTGGATTAAGCCATTCATCTGCAACAGCGCGCCATAAGTCATGCCAGCAACCAAATATGCGTTCACAAACATATGCGCAAGTGCAAAAAAAAAAATTATGTGTGTGTGTGTCAAGTGCTTGTCCATTCATTTGTCACCGAACTTTACCAGCTGTATGAAAAGTCTGTCCATGCAAAGGGATGCAGAGCATAAAATGTGCGTATGTATTACACACGAATTCACAAATTTCATAGGCAAACACACACACACACAACCATACATTTATGTGCTAAAGCCAGGCATACCTATTTGTCGTGCGTGCGGGTGTTCGCCTTTCCGGCCAACCAAAGGCTTGTTAGCAATGAATGACGGGGCAGGACGCTTGCTCTCGCTCAACATGTCCCATTCTTGTACTTATTTTATGCTTATTTCATGCTTTGGTCGCGCTAACAACTAACAGCGATTCGCCATTGTATTCCTTTATGTTGCAGGCGTTTACTGTGGCTGTGGCTGTTCTTGCTGTTGCTGTTGTAATAACGCTTTTTCATCTGCTCAACAATGTATTTGTGCAGCTCATAGTTGTTGTTGTTGTTGTTGTTATTGTTTTAATATGTAGCGTCTAATGTATTTTGTGGCGCAAGCATCTGTCCGCATATAGTGTGCGCGTGTGTGTGTAAGCGTGCGCCTGTAATGTAATTTACGTTGACTGTTTTGAATAAACCAAGCATGTAATGAAGTTGCCTGCTTTTCGTACAATCCGACATGGCGCGCCGCCGCTCACCATCAGCCTCAGTGCGGCGCATCTAACCTCGGGCCACTTCATCACACACGACTTGACACATACTCGTACATATGTGCTAATGTATGTATGTCGGCACTGATGTACGCTATTATGCTATGTGGCTGTTGCACATGCTTGTTTGCTTCTCTCTGTGTGTGTGTGTGTGTGTGTGTGTTTGTAACGATATTTGTATTTCAACCTTTTCGCAGTGCAGGACCTTCGGTTATGGCATATTTGGCGCTTTCACTTTATTGTTAATGTTTTGTTAATTTGCTATTGTTGTTGCTGTTGTTTTTTCTTCTTCTGCCCATTACCGAAGCGATGTCAAGTAGTTGCAGATGTTGCGTCCAAGCAGCGAGCAGCAACCAACTCTTTCGTAAAAATATTCATGCACTTACATGTACATACGTACTTACGAATAAATATATACCACATTCGCATATTTATATTGTACTTTGACTTCGGTAGCTCTTTTCAGTAGCTCACAAAAGGACTAGTTCGTTTATGGTCTTTTGGCGACACAAAAGCTTAATGAAATATTCTTAGATTATATATATATATATATAGAAATATTCTTATTCAGTGTTAAGCCTAGTCAAGTCAAAGCGGCTTCAACCGACGTTAGTGCAAACTTTGCATTAAGTCAGCATTTGATCATATATCTCATTGAAGCAAAATTTAAGCGCCTTCTTGACAGCGATCACAGTTATAATGAATTCCATATATATAGTACTTCGATCATTGAATTTCTTGATGCGCAGCTAAATGAAGTTGAAGCTTTCAACTAACTCATTAGACGGTAGAAACCAATTTAACGCCTACTCTCCGACGTCGTTCAATTCAAAAAGTCTTTATACCAATCTCGACAACGGTCGAATTTTCTATACCAGTCATGCTAGTTTTAACTGGCTCTAGTTGCCTCCGCCACTTACCCTCCCCGACTGCTTCGCGCAACTTGCTTACATTCAAG